GTCATTGACAGCAAAGGCTTGCACCTCACCTCAGCGAGTGCCAGTGTCGAACCTTGGCATATGTTTACAATTACCACGCACTGTGCCACACACATCTGTCAGGTTCACTCACAAGAAATCACTGAGTATGGGGCTTGTGTACCAGTTATCAGTAAATAATATATGCCCCTTACCAAGATATGGTTCCATCATTGTTCGAACCACATCACCAGAGATACCCAATAACTTCCTGGTGTCTCTCAATGTATTACTGCCAGTGTACACAATGATATCCAAAACAAGACCACTTTTGCTGATCACACGGTACAAATAACTTTATACCAAAGCGTTTCCTCTTGCTTGGTATGTATTGCTTGAAGAGTCTTCCTTTGAATAAAGTCAAAGACTCGTCAAGGGATAAAAATACATGCAACACTCAGGTACCTAAACACATTTCTGATCTTATATAACCTGTCGCTTCTGTCAGGCCTTGTTTTGTCTGAAAAGTGTAACATACGTAACAGTATCAAGAAACGATTCACACCTATGTCACTAAAACCTGGGGTTGAAATCAGGCGTTCTGTTCCCCAGTATGTGGTGACAGTGTGCTTATACACATGTGGCATAAGCATTATTGTGGCAAAAAACAGGTACATCTCTGCCACAGTTGTGTCCTTCCACTGGTGTAGCCGTGATCTTGGTGAGAGAATTGTATTTGCCATGGTGTACTCATAGTATGCGTTGGTTTCCCTGACAATAATGTCCATCAGGGGTTCATCGAAGAATAACTGAAAGCATTCCAGTTCAGTAGCATTGTTCCCAAGTGTACACGATGGCCGTATTCCACTTTGTGTTTCATCAAAGTCATGGGGACTGGGAACAAACTCGTCACCTTCCTGCCAATCCCAGATGCGGTCTGCTGGTGGGTTTTGGATATTGAAACGTGGTTGTGCAGGTTGTGGGAGTGTGGGGTTGGGTGAGGCTGGTTGTGCAGAGTCAGCAGCGTGGGTAGTAGCGTGGCCCGCTGCCGGTGCCACATGACTCATGCTACCATCACTATCACCACCACCACCTGCTGCCTCACTCACATCATTCATACCCATCATAACAATATCATCATCTTCACTATCAGGTCGTGTTGTAGGGCCATGGGATGTGCTCCGAGATTTACTCCTTTCCCTTGGAACAGCATATGAAACACTACCAGACCACATGTTACGTCGTATATACTGCCACTTCACTGGGGAATATTCACCCTCATTGTCACAACTAGAACTGCTTTCAATAACTTTGAAATCACTATCACTATCACTGCTCACATCTGAGTCTTGTACACGGGCAAATAGTTTCCTCTTTCGTCCTGGTACAGGTAAACGTGAATGTGAACGAGCTGGCCCAGCACCAGAGGTGGAAGGTCGTGGGTCATATGGGTTTTCATCACTAATTTCGTTATCCTGGGCACTTTTTTCGGTCACACCCACTTGAAAACCATGGAATTCACTTTCACTGACACTTTCATCGCTGTTTGAGCTATCACTTGGGAACAAAAGACCTCCAATCCGCCGAGGAGTGAGGTACTTCTTACTGCGAGGCATGGTGAAAATGGACTACCAAGATGGCGTTCCCACAATGCATCACTGAGTCCCAGATTTTTTTTCACAGGGTGCACACCCACCACTCAGACCCATTCTCTCTCATGTAGGCCTACCAGTTTTCTCCCGCTTGATTTGAAGCCACTAGAATTTACAGGTATAAATACGTCAGAAACAGTGGCGCATAAGACGTATATATATGACGTAAACAGTCAAAGGGTTAAACAAACATGGTGACATTACACATCCCTGTCTAAGACCTACTTTAACTGGGAAGTAATCTCCCTCTCTTCTATACACCCTAACCTCTCAGCCTCACTATCCTCATAAAAACTCTTTACAGCATTTAGTAACTTACTATCTGTTTTGTATACTTGCAACATCTGTCACATTGCTCCCCTATCCACTCATGCCTTTTCTAAATCCATAAATGCAATGTAAACTTCCCTACCTTTATCTAAATACTGTTCATATATCTGCTGTTCATATATATTACCCCCTTTCATTCTACGTAATGCCTCATGCACCTCCCCCACACTCACCCTGCTCTTCCTCACTCCTAAAAGATGTTATACCTCCCTGGCCAGTGCATGAAATTACTGCCTCCCTTTCTTCATCGACATTTAACCCTTTGACTGTTTCGGTCGTATATATACGTCTTACGAAGCCACCGTGTTTGATATATTAATACGCATAAATTCTAGCGGCTGCAAATCAAGCAGGAGAAAGCTGGTTGGCCCACATGTGAAAGAATGGGTCTCCATGGTCTGTGTGCACCATATAAAAAAATCGGGGAGCCAGTGGTGCATTGTGGAAATGCCATTTCAGCAGTCCTTGTTCAGCATGCCTAGCAGTAAGAAATACGTAACTCCCTGGCAAATCTGGGACTCTACTCTTCTCAAGTGATGCTCTAACACAGATGGAAGTGTCAGTGAAGATCAATTTCATGGTTTTGAGGAGTTTGTGACCAAAAGCAATGCCCAGGATACCAGAAGAATGAAGGAGAAAGAGAGAGAATTAGGGAGAGAAAGAGAGAATGAGGGAGAAAGATAATTAGATAGTAGGATGGAGGGGAAGCGAGCATCCCACCCTATTGTTTTGACAGGCAGTAGGGGGAGTGAGTAATGAGACAATATGTCATTTTGACAGCTGCCGACCCTGACTCAGAACAATTAGAAGCCTCACACACAACACAAGCTTGCTGAATGAAGATAATAGCCCAGGATACCAGAAGAATGAAGGAGAAAGAGAATGAGAGAGAGAATGAGGGAGAAAGATAATTAGATAGTAGGATGGAGGGGAAGCGAGCATCCAACCCCCATTGTTTTGACAGGCGGTAGGGGGAGTGAGTAAAGAGACAATATGTCATTTTGACAGCTGCCAACCCTGACTCAGAACAATTAGAAGTCCATATACTCACTCACAACACAAGCTTGCTGAATGAAGATAATAGCAGTTATATGAAAGTATCCAGTGACTATGTATGTGTATATATATAGAAACCAGAAGGAATGTAGGAAGGAAGGAATGATGACACATGACCATTTAACTAGGATAACTACCTAACACAACTGTCTGCTAATACTTTGAAGAAAACTACTCAGATGAGGTGTTTCGTCTTTGCACATAAAAAAAAAAAAAAAAATACAGATACACTCGTTTTATGTGTGAGGAGTGTAAAACACCATTGTGTACGAAATCATGTTTCAGAGAGTTCCACAAGCTGCAGAACTTCTAGGAACATGTCCAGTGACTGTACATTTGCATATATATAAAACAATAGTAATAAACAATTTTTTGTATTTTTGTAAACAAGTTTTGTAAACATATTGATAATTATGTTTGTGGGCTTATTGTGTTGTATACAACGAGTGTATATACAGTAGACCGTCATTTAGCACAAGTTTATTAGGCACGATTTGGGTATAGCACGATTGAAGAATTGCAGCACAATTTTATGTAACACGTCGTATGATGAACTTAACGCGGTTCAGTTTCCAGGAAGGAAAAAAAAAAACTTCCCTTTTCCTCAAGCGGCCGCATTGTTGTGGTTTAGCTGGGGAGACCTCCCGCCGTCCCCAGCCACCCCCCAACACCACCCCACCATCAAAGCACTCGTACTTCATATGTGTCCAGTCCAACTTCTCTGCTACAAGCTTGTGATTGTGAATTGTGTTTTGATCTTTTAATTGCTATATCTTGTATCTGCCAAACAATCATGACACCCAGTAAGCATATCAGTGTTGCTCAGTGGCAAGAAAGAGTGTAAGCATTTAAGTCTTAGAATTAACGAAGGAAACAAAGATATTAGACAAGACATCCTGTGGCCATAATGAAGTGTTACTTTGCACACATAAAAGAGGTAAACATAAGTTTGTGTGACTTACTGACTGAATGACTGACTTACTGAATCACTTGACTGATTTACTGAATGACTTGACTGACTTACTTAATCACTTGATTGAATGACAAAGTTAGACACTCCAGTACAACCATCAACCTCAGTACCAGAACCTCTACCATCAACCTCAGCCCAGTAGGGCCACAGCATAACTCTCCACTCTCTTCACAATCATCCACAAACACCAGTACCCACAATTTAAGGTAAGAAATACTATTATTTCTTAAGCAGTAAAAACAACATAATATATCATAACAATGAACTACAATTCCATTTTCACTTTTATTTTTGTTAGATGTGGAGGCCTAAAAAAAAAGTTGTTTGGCTTTTTTGGGGCTCTCAGGAATGTAACCTTATTTTTCCCATAAGTTCTTCAGTTCATCTAACACGGTTTTTACCTAACAGTGTTTTCAGGAATGTAACTACCGTGTTAAATGACGGTCTACTGTATGTACATTGCACTTTACTTTGGACACACAGGCCACATAAAATACCTGAAAAAATAAAATAATAAAAAAACAAGAAACCTTGGAATGCAAGTAAACTAAAGTTTACCGGGTGAGAGGCATTTGCTGCTGTTTCCATACACGGCTCATTTTCTGCCAACTTTACGCCTCTATATCTTGGTAAGTACTGATCACAAAAAAAGTTTTTTTTTTTGGACTTAAAACAATCAGAAAATTAATCTTAAATTATCATAAAAAATATATATATATATATATTTTAAATTCTTCGACACCAGGAGACACTTAAGGATTTGGGGTTGTGACAGTCGAGGAGTTAAAAGTTCCTCAAGATATTCCCGCCATCTACCCAATACCTCCAGCTCCCCATCTACTAACTCCCCTACTCTGTTTTTAACTGACAAATCCATTCGTGATAGAGAAAGGCAGTATTTTATAAAAAATAATTTATTAAGTTAAAGAGCAGGGCAACAGTAGATAATGTAGGAAATAAAAATGAAGTGCCATGACCAGCTAGTACAAAAATTAACACTTCTTTAATGTACTTTTTTCTTTTTTTTTCAGTGACCACAAGATTCGGCAACATTTACACAAGTGTGCAGACTGGAGAAAGTGACACATTTATTATAAATCTGAATATAAATTATCCAGAACAAAAAATTCATTACATTCCTGGATTTTGGTTTATCATAAAGTGGGCATGGGTACAGTATTTATCAATCCTGGTAGTGCTGGTATATGCAGTTAGTTTAATTAAAGATTGGGTTTTTCAGAATCAGATTGTGTCTACTTGGGTTGATTTTCCAAAAAATAAATTATTTTAAATATTTGTTTGTACTCTGATTGCAAGATCTCCATGTTTGAAATGGAATAATCACCTAGTCCTGTACTAGTCATAATATCAGAACAAAAGAAAGAAGGAACACTGCAGCAGGCCTACTGGCCCATGCAAGGCAGGTGCAAGTCTCCTACCGGCTTAAGCCAATGCCCCAACCTAGTCAGGTCACATTCACTTAAGGAAGGAGCACGGCATCTGACCTGGTAACACAAACCAGTCAGGTCCAACTCACACCCACCGTGAATATAGATTTTACTATCTATCAAATATTTTAAATCGTAATACTGTATTATTTTTATAATCAAAACCAAGCACTAAACCCAAAAGTTGTTATACAGCAATACAGGGCAGGGTGTGCTTGCTTTAGAGACTACCAAGAGTGAAGAGGATAATAGTGTTAGAAAGGGCTGTGAGGAGTGCTAAAGGAAATACTATCAAAGTTTGTGTAATATAATACTGTACACTTGTACTACAGGAGGCCCTCCACATGCAAGGGTTAGGGGATCAAGAACCTCGCAAATCTTGAAAATTCTCAAATGTTTGGCGCGCAAATGTGACATAGGAAATATAATAATACCATTTACTTAGCCCAACAATACTGCTTCCTTAACCTATTGAACCACGGACAATCACAACACGCATGAAAACTGGGCATCCGGGCATCTGTGAATTAAAGCTGATGTGCTCATAATTTTGAGTTCTGGCATAGGTAAACAGCCACTACCTTTTTATCTTTCAGGTATTTTTGAGTGTCATAATTCTCTTGTATTATACGTGCAAGTCATACATGTCAGCACTATTTTTTGGACAATATAACAGCCATTTTTAGTCTAGTGCAGTTAAATTTAACACCCATCTTGTATTTAAAAGTATAGTGCATGATCATATTATTGGAATATGCTAAACCCTCATGGTGAATAAAGAATGGGAGGAAATCAAATTTGATCCAAGGAAGTGTACGGTAGTACCAGTACCCCAGATCAAGAGCCCTTCATTGGCATCAAGGACCTGGGATAAAATATTTTGTGAGTAAATGTGACAGTCCTTACAACCACTGTTTACTAATGATTAACCCTTAAACTGACCAAAAACGTAGATCTACGTTTGCTCGCGTAGCGCTCCGAACGTAGATCTACGTTTTTTTACATTGTTTCTTATGGAGAAAATCAAGGTCGGAGCACTACGCATGCAAACGTAGATCTACGTTTGGACAGTTTAAGGGTTAATACTAGTACAGTACTACGTACATTTAAGGAGTCCTAAACCTGTAGGGATCATTACCCACCTGGGGAAAGGGGGGCAAATGGGTTTGATCCAAGGAAGAGTAGTTCCAATTCCTTCTATCAAGATTAGTACTTAGCTTTGATTGTAATAAATGACATTCTACCAAGAGCCCCTCACCAGTCTTAAGGCACCTACTTTAAGTGGTAGCTGTGATTTATAAGTTATTTATCTTTATACCAAAAAAGTAGATGGATCTACGAACCAAGGCAAAATTACATCACATCCCTCCCAATGTTACCTTCTTGCTGGACTCTTATTCAAGTAACTAGCTATCCTCCCTCCCTTTGGATCAAACTTGATAACCTCCAAATCTCCAGGCATTGTGTATACAGTAGGGCCCTGCTTTTCGGCGTTTCTCCTTACGGTGTTCCGCTAATACAGCGATCTCAAATTATGACCAAAACTTTCTATATGGCAAGTGGTCTTTCAAATACGGCGTGTGCCACCTGGTTTGTTTACATTCTCCATAAGCACATCTCTCTATTATGTAATAATAATCACTCTTGGGCACATTAAATGTCTAATTTTGTCAATATAGATATTTTCATTAATCCATCTATGATATTTTCTTCAAAATTATATAAGAAACACGTTACATAGCATATAAACATGTTGTTTATATGCTGTGGAGGTGTGGTTGCCGGGTGGGGGAAAACATTATGTAATACTAATAATAATCACTCTTGGGCACATTAAATGTCTTATTTTACGTTAATATAGATTTTTTCATTAATCCATCCATTATATTTTCTTCAAAATTATATAAGAAACACGTTACGTAACATATAAACATTTTGTTTATATACCAAGGTGTGGTAGCCGGGTGGAGGGAAAACATTACGTCAGTCCCCTTAACCCTTTCAGGGTCCAAGACCAAAATCGGAAGGGGTGCCCCAGTGTCCAGGAAATTTTGAAAAAAAAAAAAAAAAAAAAAAAATCTTACAGAATTAGAGTATATTTTTGTGAAGGTAATAAAACAACAACAAAATTTTCTGATCAGTACTTACCGAGATACAGTGCCGAGAAGTTGACCCAAAATGACCGGGTGGCGGCAACATCGACGATTTCCACATGTGTGCATTACTTTATTTTACTTTTTTATAGTTTTTTCTTTTCTTTTCTAATTTTTTTCTTTTCCTACTAACATTTGGGGCCTGAGAGACCAATACTGTATATAATGTATATATATAAACTCACTGTATTGAACACAATAACCGCACTAAAGTTATTATATTATTGTTTACCACTTTTGTTTATTACAATAAACATGCACAAATCTTGTATAATACTAATGTTCTATCATATATTTACATATTTATAATCACTGGACATGTTTTTAGAACTGCTGGAGCTTGTGGAAATCCTTGAAACAAGGCATCATGCACAGAGGTACCTTACATTCTTCGCACATAAACCGAGTGTCTTTGCGTCTTTGTTGCCGTCGTTTTGTTTGTGCACAGACAATGCATCTCTTCTGAGCAAATTTCTTCTTAGTTGCAGGAAGCTGTATTATGAAATGATCACCTTCCCTCCTCAAACGCTTGGGTATATGCTGAGGAGTTCGAGGACCTTGTTGTATAGCAGGTGTTGTTACCTGGTACTTCATTACGAGTGGTCTGACAACAGACAAACAAAATTCGCCATACGGTGATCTGTTGCCAGTCTTCACTTGGTAAATATTATATGCATTGAGCATTGAAATGTCCATGAGATGGAAGAAAAGTTTCACATACCACTTGTAACTCTTACAAACACAATCAACAAAGCCAATCTGCATGTCACATTTGTCAACCAAGCATATGTTTTGTGTATAATCAATCACTGTCACTGGTTTTCAAATATGTTCATTAGTCATTCTATCAACTTTGCCACTGTCTTGCATTTTGTTACGGTGAATGGTTGTCAACAATGTGACATCTCATTTGTCATGCCACCATAATGCCATGATGTCATTGGCAGTACACACCTGCACCTTATCACCACGAGCACCTGCGTTGAACCTGGACATATATTTAAGATTAGAACGCACTGTGCCACACACATCTGTCTTGTTCACTCGCAAGAAATCACTGAGTAAAGGGCTTGTGTACCAGTTATCGGTATACATATAATGTATGCCCCTTACCAAGATAAGGTGCTATCATGCTTCTCACTACGTCACCTGAGATACCCAATAACATACTGGTATCTCTCAATGTTTTACTTCCCGTGTATACAACAATATCTAATACCAGGCCACTGTCACAGTCACAGAGTACAAACAGTTTTATACCAAAGCGTTTCCACTTGCTCAGTATATACTGCTTGAATGACAGCCTACCTTTGAACAAAATCAAAGACTTGTCAATTACAAGATTCTTGAATGGATAAAAGTACATGTTGAACTTTTGTTTCAGATACATAAAAACATTTCTAATCTTGTATAACCTGTCATTTCTGTCAGACCTGGTTTTGTCAGAGAAGTGCAACATATGTAGCAATAAGATAAACCTGTTCACTGGGATGATTTCACTGAAGGCCGGGGTACAAATTAGCTGATCTGTGGACCAGTATGATTTTATATTACGCTTATAGACATGAGGCATAAGCATTATTGTTGCAAAAGGCAAATACATTTCTGCAACAGTTGTCTCTTTCCACCGGTGTAGTCTTGACTGTGGCGATATGATCGTATTTGCCATGGTGTATTCAAAATACTTGTTACTTTCCCTGACAATAGTTTCCATCAAGGGCTAGTCAAAGAATAGTTCATTGGCCGTGGTTCCAAGGGGACAAGTAGGTAGAATTCCACTTTGAGAGTCATCAAACTGGTGGGGCTTGGGAACAAAATTGGGATTTTGCTGCCAATCCCAGATACTGGTGGATACTGGACATCATAAGCTGGTTGTGCTGGTAGTTGTGGTTGTGATGGGCTGGTGGTTGACGCTCCACTTTGTCCTTGAGCTGAAGAGTCAACGGCATGGGTACCAGCCTGGGCTGGCAAGTCATGCATGGCCGTGGCACTACCATCACCACTACCACCACCTACCTGTGGTCTATCCATGCCAAGTGCAGCCACATCATCCTCACTTTCACTGTCTATTCCTGGTGTAGGGCCACGGGATGTACTCCGTCCCCTGGGCACTGCATAGGGAACACTACCCGACCGCATGCGGCGGCGTATATACCAACGCTTCACTAGTGAATATGATTCGTCACTATCACTACTCGAATGATCGTCAAGAGCAATAAAATCACAATCCACGTCACCATCATCATTACTGAAGCCAGAGGCCTGGCCACGTGAAAATATTAGTTTTCTCTTGCGACGAGGTACAACTGAACATGACTGAGACGTGCCCACACCAGAGGTAGAAGGTTGAGGATCGTCAGGATTTTCTGCACTATTATTGATATCCTGGTCATTCCTTTCGGTCACTAACTGATCGAAGCCATAGAATTAGTCTTCATTTCCACTTCCATCAGAGTCAGGACTATCAGATAGGAAGAGGAGACTCCAAATTTGCCTTGGAGTGATAGCTGCCTTGCAACGAGGCATGGTGAACAAAGGTAACTTAGCCAGCGCTCCCACAATGCTATGCGGGCACCTAGAATTTTTCTTCATGGCGCGCACACATTACGCAGACCCATTCTCTCACATGTAGGCCTACCAGCCTTCTCGCGCTAAATTTGACACCGCTAGAATTTTGGCATAGATCTACGGTTTGGACCCTCAATGTATAGCCGTAGATCTACATCACGGACCCTCAAAGGGTTAATCAATGTATGAACTTTGGGCGTCTTGTTCTGAAGTTTTAAGATTTAGGTAATTGGGAGATTTTTTTGGTAAAGTTAAATATTTGCGTACTAAGTATTTAGTTTAGGGTGAGTAAGTGGTTTTTGAGAAGAGTCTTAAATTAATGTTCAGACTGGGTTACTTTAGTATTTACTGGCAATGAATTCCAAATTTTGGGGCCCTTTATGTGCACAGTTTTTAGTGTGACATGGACTCGGGAAACATCAGAGAGAGATCTGTGTCTTGTGTTACGGTTGTGTGTCCTGTTAAGGTTGGTGAGAAGTTTGAGTGTAGTGTTCTATGTATGTAGTAGGCACATGAATAAGTATGGATGTTCTTTACTGTGAGCAGTTTTAGACTTTTGAATACTGATGAAGTATGCTGTCGGGAGTAGGAATTTGTTGTCATTCTGACTGCAGCCTTTTGCTGGGTCATTAGTTGTCTTAGGCAATTTAATGTTGTTGATCCCCATGCACAAATTCCATGCGAGATAAGGGTAGAGGAGTGAATGATACAGTGCAAGGAGAGCTGATTGTGGAACATAGTACCGTATCTTTGATAGTATGCCTACTGTCTTAAGAGATTTTCTTTGAAATTTATTGTACGTGTGTCTGGAAATTTGAGGCTACTGTCAAGGTGGATTCCTGTGAATTTTCCCTCTGCGAGTCTTGTGATGGGTGATCCGTTTAGCATTATGTTAAGTGGAACATTTGCAGCTCTGTTTCCAAACTGAATGAAATAGGTTTTCTCAGTATTGAGGGTAAGCTTATTAGTCGTCATACTGGTAGATATTATCTTCAATTCGGCAGTATGACTGGGTTTGGGTGAGAGAAGACGTATGTTATGTCATCTGCAAATAATATGGGTTTTAGTAGTTGTGATGCATTCAATAGGTCATTGATGTAAATGAGAAAGAGGAGTGGGCCAAGGACAGTTCCTTGTAGGACACTGACTGTGATTGGTCGAGTGGAAGTTTGCTCCATTTGTGTACACATAGTGGCTTCTGTTACTGAGGTATGACTTTAGGTAGTTGAGGGAGTGCCCTTTTATACCATAGTGTGTTAATTTAATGTGCAGCAAATCATGGTCAACTGTATCAAAAGCTTTACGAAATCAATGAAGATTCCCAGCAGGACTTCTTTCTTCTCAAGAGCAGTGTATATTAGTTCTAACGTGTATAACATCATTTGTGCTTTTATCAGTCCTGAATCCAAACTAACAGGGGTTTAGTATGTTGTATGAGACGAAGTAGGAATAGATCTATGAATTAATTTTTCAAAGATTTTAGAGAGCAGAGGTAAGTTAGATATTGGTCTCTAGTTATTCAAGTCCGCTTGATCACCTCCTTTGTGGATCGGGATGACCCCTCACTATTTTGAGATGAAGGATACAATGGATTTGTTACAGTGTTGCAATACTTGGTGACTACTTGTGAAGCTTTTTTTTGTACATAAAAGGTGGTAAGTTATTTATGTCTCCTGCCTTGTTTTTAAGGGTGTTGATGATGAGCGAGACTTCTGTTGGGTTGGTTGGGGCTAGGAATAGTGTATTAGGGTAGGTGCCCGTGAGGTAGTCTGATGGATGGGTGCTTGATCTTGGGATTTTGCTCGCTAGATTCTTTCCTATGGTGGAGAAGAAAACACAGAGTCTGCTGTTTCAGTTGGTGGGAGTAGGGGTTCATCTGATTTTGGTAATTTGATTGTTTTGTTTTTGGATATCTTTTTAGTTCTTAGAATTTCAGATAGGGTTTTCCAGGTC